GACAGAAAAGCCGATCAGCTGATCATTAAGCAGTTTCACAATTGAAGTAGCAGCAAGAAGAGGCAGTCGCTCCATATATCAGTTGTTAAGCTTAACGCTGGAATGCTTTACAAACATTCAGAGATGAACTTACACACTTGCTTTACTTCTCTCTGGGATAACTTTCTCGGAGATGAAATACTCAACCAGACCACCGACAGGTCTCGCACGCCACTGCCGCTCTATCACGTGATGCATACTGCTCCAACGTGCTACGGTTATGAGCCGAGTTATGTCATGTCACAAGTTTTGTGAGGTGCTTTTTTGATATTTAATGGATTGGATTTCCCTCCAATATCCGATCCAGTAATTTAGGTCAGTATCGGTCCAATACCGATACTTAATATCGGATCGGTCCATCTCTACATTCTAGCACACATTAATTGCAACATAGCTAAAGAAAATCCACATATAGTCCACGTTTTTGTCTCACTGTAAACATGAATACTTTTATTGATTATATTTAGAAACAGTTGCATAGTACAAAGTAGATCAAGTGCAAAAGAAGCTTCCAAAACTCCTGAGACAGTAGTTTATAGTGCATAATGTTACAGTCATCCACATTACTCCTTCTAATACAGTTTTTTGCTGCATACACACAGCATATTGCACAAATTCACTCAAATTCTCCACATTAAAACAAAACAGAATCGAGCAGTCGTATCAGATTGTCATAAAAGCTGATTTGACTCAAATGAAATGTGGAACAAACGCAGATTTCAGTGTCTTGAGACTGACAGTGCAATTACCGAACGCCACACATCTCCCACTAATTGTTTCTACCCCGACTGACAAAAAGAACAAAAAAAAAATGCTTTCCAGCAACATCCGGCAACACACATTGCACCTGTGCTCATATAGCGCTCATCTCACTCAAACTAAACGCGTACATTATGTGCTATTGTGCAAATATAGCATCAGTACTCGTGTGCACTTCCACAAATAATGCAAATCTAACGCCTCCTACTCGCTTTCTTTTGCATAGATAAAAAAGTAAACATTAAGTCGTTTTGATTGGACAAAATACCTCCTGCTGCGATAATAACTACCTTGATTTTTAAAGTGTGCATCACAATCAGAGTGCAATTTAAAGATTAATAATAGATTACTGAGGTAGCGCCAACCCCACAGTACCTTTTTGTACATTAAAAAAAACACTTTTTTTATGCTAACATATAAGAAGTGTACAGTGAACCAGAGCTTTAATCCAAATTATTTAGTGTGTTTTAAACATTTTTGAGAAACCCTGTCATAAACAGAAGCATAAAAAACACTCACATACACTCACCAAATGATACTGTTAAAAATGTGTTGTACACTGTTGTTGTGACTGTTGTTTATTTTACTCTAATTTGTGTTCAATGCTTCGTACCCACATATCTGCGCTTTTTAAATAAACATTACGTACTTACTTATTAGACGTAATGTTGATGGACATAAATGTCAAAGAACTTACTGGATGCTTGCAGCCCAGGTAAAATTAAAAACATTTGTCATTGCACTAAAATATCAAATTTAGCTTGTTTCAAGTAATCCAGCCAAACTGATTGTCGACAGTTTGATTGAAACAAAGTTTTACATGAGACAAATTTATTTTAAGGTTAAAAAAATAAGAAAATAATGAGAAGAAAGAAATGTCAATTCTATTCTAATGTTAAAATCCTCATCTAAAGAGGGATAAATTGCTAGCATTACTACTAATAATTATACTATTTCATATTTACTAGTTTTTGTTTGTATTTTTCCTTTTTCTCTAATTTCCAGAAATGTACATAAATCTCAGTGATGAGGCGATGGATTTATTTTGGTGTGTTTGTGTGTGTGAGAGGGAATAATCTAAGCTGTGACCTACATTAAAATCTAGCGCAGATGTTTCCTGAACAGATGCGCAGAGCCCCTCTAAACACACACACACACACACACACACACACACACACACATACAGAGTCCACTGTAGCATCCTTCAATCTGAGTTTCCGCCTCACAGTATTCAAGAGTCTGTTTGTTTACTTCATTCAGAGTCATCTGTCCTCTTGTTTCTCTCTGTCATCAGACTGATAATGACGTTCTCGGGCGTACAGGGACCTCTGCGTCCTTTAACAAGTCCAGGCAGTTTTAACCGTCCGCTGTCAGGTTGTTCGCTGACAGAAGTTGTTACTGTGTTTGCTTTCTAACAACGGTTAACAACGGTGGTTGATGATGTTGTAGTCCTGTGTGAAACGGGCTTCATCACTGACTCAGAGTCTTTTAGTCGGTGTCTCCCAACGCGAGGCAGATTTGAAGCCTTAAAAGAAGAGATGGAGAGGACGTTAGAAATAGCCCAGTAATGATGTACACATCAGTATATGTAAAGACAAAA